GTCATCATAATTATGTTCTTGTAATTCTTAAATGGAAATTTATCAAAATTATATTCTTCTACTATTGCTTAGAAAAAGGGTCTCATCTTTTACTTTAAATAATACAGCAGTGTCCAAATTGGTTTACATGATGCTAGGTTTTTTCCTGAAATCTTGCTTTCATTTTGCTACAAGAATGATATATCTGCTCAACATTAGCTGTGCATCTTTCACATTTAAAATTAGTCCTGGGCTTCCTATTACCCGTGTCATGGCTGTCGGGCCTATTCATCAGAACCTCTTAGGAAGCTTATTAAATATGTTGATGTTGGGCCTTCTTTACCTTAGGAGATTAGAGTCTTTGAAGGTAGAGACATGGCAAAGTCTATAGATGATTCTGAGACCCATTAGCCAATAGATTACATTCTTGGTATAATGTCAAGATTCTCTCCCCATCTCATCTGGTTTTCACCTACTATTCTACCCTTACTTTTCCTATATCTGCATTACAATTATAATACCTAATTTAGTATAATGTCCTCAGTGACTTAACTAGAATTGTTTTTAATCTGTAATACTTTTCCTTATTTATACATCTTCTATTTAAAGATTCCTTGGTTTAAGAATTACCTCTCCCAGGAAGCTTCCTAGACTCAAATTTGGGTCAGGTGCCTTTAGCAGTATACAGGGTCTTCTGTTCTGGCTTTCCTTTATCGTTGTATTGTGAGCTCTAGAGGTAGATACTGAGATTTTTGTGTGTGGGTTCTGTATTCCTTTTTACATATTTTTTTAAAAATGACACTTAATTATTTGTAAATATTGGTGGTGTGCATCCCATGGCACATACATACAGGTCAGAGCGCAGCTTGCTGGAGTCAGTTCCTTCCTTCCACCTTGTGAGTTCCTGGAATCAAACTTAGGCCATCAGGCTAAGCACCTTTATCTACTGAGCCATTTTGATGATCCAGTGTTTTGTATTTTTAATCCAGTACTAGATCTTCTGTAATTATAAACAGGAAGAACATGAAACCAGGCTGGTATGTTAAATTTGTTCTTGTCATTGACAAATACTCAAGAGAAATAATTTAAAAAAGAGAAAAGATTTATTTGGGTTTGTGGTTTCAGAGGTTTCAGTTGATGGTTATCTGGTCTTATTGCTTTGTTTCTGAGGCAAGGCAAAAAAATCATGGTGGCAGGACCATATTAGATAAAGACTATTTAGTTCATGGTAAGTAGAAAGCAGAAGTAACAGGAAGGAATCAGAGCTAAGATATTCCCTCCAGGGGCATATCCCTAGCAACCCACTTCCTCCAGCTAGCTCTACCTACCACAGTTTTACTACCTACTGAGAGTCTGTCGAATCTTGAATCTATCAGTGAATTAAACCAGTGATTGGGTCAGAGCCCTCCAGATCCAATTGTCTCTGGAAAAATCCTCAGATATGCTAAGAGGTATACTTTACTGTCTCTAGGTCATCTCCCATTCCAATCAAATTGACAAGATTAATCACCACAGCTGGGATACAACAAATTAAGGTTTGGTGTTATGAGTAGGTTTTTTTTCCTCCAGCCTGGTCCCACTGCTGTGCCATCCCCAAATAACACACAGAGACTCTGTATTAGATATAAAGTTGTTAGCCAGTTACTTGTTTCTTACCGGCTAGCTCTGTCTTAAATATTAACCCATCTCTATCAATCTAAGTACTTCCACGTGGTCTTATCTTACAGGAGAGAGGGGCTGGTGTTTTTCTCTCTGTCCTCCATCTTGAATCCTCCCTCTACTTCCTCTCTCCTCCTTGTCTCCTAGTCCCGCCTATCTTGCTTTCCTATTGGCCAACAATGCTTTATTCATTAACCAATAAGAGAAACATTTACAGAATGGCATCTCCCATCAGTGGAGTTACAGGGACTGGAGACATGACTCAGCAGGTAGAAACATTTGCCACGAGAATCTGGTGACCTGACTTCCCCAGAACCCTCATAAAGGTAAAAAGAGAACTGACTCTACAAAATTGTCCTCTGATTCCTACATGTGTACTGAGCATGTGTTTGAATGAGAATGGCCCCCATAGGCTCATATTTGAATACTTGGTTCTTGATTGGTGAAACTGTTTGGAAAGGACTAGAAGGTATGGATTTGATAGAGGAGATGTGTCACCTGGGGTTGGCTTTGAGGTTTCAGAAACCTTCACCATTATGAGTTAGCACTCTCTCTGCTTCCTGCTCATGGATCAGATGTAAGCTACTGCTCCAGGGCCATGGCAACCTCATTCTGTACTCCCTGTCATGATGATAATGGACTCTGAAATTTTAAGCCCCAATAAACTCTTTTGTAACTTGCCTTGGTTATGGTGTCTCTTCACAGCAATAGAAAAGTAACTAAGACATACTCTTCCAGTGCAATAATAATAAAGTTGAAATTAAGAAATACAAAGTTTGTGAGGTGTAAAGAAATAAGGGGATAATAAATAGTGCTGTGGATATAGGCTCTAGAGACAAAAGTGATCATATAGCAGTCATAATGTTTTTATGGAACAACTGGAAATTTGTAAGGGAAAAAAGAGAAGGGAAATAAATTAGGCAAATGAACTGATTTTAAATAGCATGTGCAGAAGGAGGAACAAAGGATATGAAACCAAATAATATACACGCAAGAGAAACACAAGATACAAAAGAGAAACACATTCCAGTAGAATAGAGAACTGAGATTTGGAAATAGGTTAATTTGGCCTTTTTACTTCATAAAAAACATAATGAAAATCACAAATAAATAAACTGTTAACAACCTGACCCTGTAATTGGAATCAAAGAACAAACAGAAGTTCTCAGCTTCTGTTCCTTGTCTTCTCTGACACAGAATGATTTATATGCAGAAAATGAAGGTAAAAGTAAGAAACAATAAGGAAAAATTGAAGCTCAAGGTGAGGGATGAGATCTAGAACCTCTGGCTAGTCTAAATGAATTCACACCTCACGGTCAGATTTGTTAATGTTTTTGACAAACTGGCAATCTTTGAGGAATTGCAATACACATGAAAACTTGTAAGAAGCTGTGGAAGTGTAATGTTGAAAAATTTAAGGGAATATAGATTCCATAAGTTATAGTGAACTTGACATTACCCTCACAAAATTCTAGAGATGACTTTAAAATATTGGTAGATATTTACACATGAGGAAGGTAAATAGTTTACATGGGTTCTCTAAGAATTCATTCCAGATAATGCAGATCGCCCCATCCCTTTGAAGGCAGATAAAGTTGCTGTTGCAATGTATCTAGATTTCTGTGGGAAATAGGCTGAGCTGCTGTTGTACTGTTCACTGGTGGTGTGGGCGGCACCTACTTTTTGACTCCACAAAGCTCCATGTAGTCTTGCATGGCTCCTTGTTCCATTTCCTGTCTGCTTTATCTTCCAGAGCATAGAATAATGTGTGATCAAGACTGTTTGCCAACATACCCAAGGTAGTTTTTAGGATTTTAAGATGACTTTTAAGATGACTTTTATTTTTAAACAGAAAGCTCAACAGAAGCATCTTATTGCTCTCAGAAGCAGAAAATTTTCATTAGCATTCAGGAAATAGTCCTTATTATATTAAACCCAGAAGAATTTAATTTCATTTGAAGAATTCAAACCTAACAGGGAATTCAAGAATAAGCAATTTGGTGGGAATTCATCAGTATTTGGTTTTAGGGTTTTGAGTTCTCATATATCCTCAAATACCATTCACCCTGACAGGAGAGTGATAAATTGGCTGTTTGTAGGGACATTGAGTTGCATGTGGGTGGTATACCACCATTTCCTAGATTCTGTTTAGCAGATACTTGTCTCATTCTTCTTTGTCATTAATTTGTGTTTTTGTGGAGGTAGGAGATGGAAAAGGAAGAATATAGAATTGTGACTAAGTTTACAGCTCTATATTCCAGGATTTCCTTCCTCAAGACTCAGTTCTTAGAGTTAGGCATTTATTTTATTTTAACTTTACTTTTTTTAAATAAAATTATTTTGTGCTTGCATGTATTGTTTTGATCAAGTCCACATTTCACTTCTTCCCCTTCAGTTTCCCCCTTATCCCCGCCATTCCTTCCCAATTTCATATGACCTGTTTCTCTCTCTTTCTCTCTCTCTCTCTCTCTCTCTTTTTTTTAAGCCCACAGAGTCCACTTAGTGTTGCCAGTATGCATAGATGTAGGGCCATCCACTGGAGCATACGGAATCTCTCCAGTACGACAACCCTGAAGAAAAGTTACACATTCTTATAGCAGTCATTAGTTGCCAATAGCTCCTCAGAGGTGGAACTTCTTGACCACTTCCTCCCTTCATTATGGGGTTTTGTTTGGCTTGATCTTGTGCATGTCTTGAGCCACTGTCAGTTTCTCTGTGCAATTTTTCTGTTGTATCTAGGATAGCACTGGCTATAGTCATCTACTGCTTCTTGTTCTTACAATTTTTCTATCTCCCCTTCCTCCATCCCTGAGCCTTGGGAGGAAGGGGGTATGGTATAGATAGGTATAGACATCCCATTTAGATCTGAGCATTCCACAGTCTCTTATTCTCTGCATATTGAGCAGTTAATGTGTTAAATTGTTATCTACTGGAAAAAAAAAAAAGACGCTTCTCTGTTCAGGGTTGGGAGGTCCCCTAATCTGTTCTATAACTATAAGGCTTTAGGGATTTGTACTACCTGTGTGATATACTCTTCCCCATTCTCAGCTTGGGTGGTGGGGGCTGGAGTTGCCCACTGGGTAGCACTACCTATATAAGGTGTGGGACTCTGCCTTGTTCTCAGGTGGCAGGATACTAGGGTCAGTGAGTGGGTGGGTGGGAATGGCTACCTGTGAGGTGGTTCTAAGAGGGTTTCAGCTAGCTAGAACTTTTTCTTTTAAGCGTGCTCTTGAGATCACAAATAACTTGTTGCCTGTTATATGTATCATACAAAAACTGGCTACTGATATTTTGTCAGAACTTTATTAATATTATTTGTGGTTTATTATTGCTACTAATGTATTTGTATCTTTTTCTAATAGGTGAAGCCTTTTGCTAAGACAATTTCATCTAGTTCATGAACCAAAATTATACACACGCTGAATGTTACAGAAGTATTGAAAGACTGGTAGGTAACATAATATTAACAGAAGATTTGGTTCAAGGTAAAATTTTGGAGCTATATACTTATAGTAAGCAGTTAGATTCTCTGTAGGGAAGATATATATATATATATATATATATAGTTAATATTTTTATAGCTATAAGCATGTGTAAGCTGTAAAAACATGAATGGTAATAAGTACCATCCAGTATAGCTGTAGCTTTTCTGTGATGTAAACCTTGGTTTCTTTACACACACGTGCACATTCACAAATTCACCTGAACATCATGAATTCTAACACTACTGATTCAGGGTGTTGGCTATAATTTCATGTTCTATACCTTCTTTTAAGCATTTGTGTGTAGCGTATGTGTATTTTTTTCTATATACTTTTCTGAGTGTATTAGAACAAATTTAAGGAAAATCTGTTTATCTGATATTCAGAATGGCTAGAAAATATTTAAGTATATTTAATATTTATTCTAGGAAGTAAAGAACAAAGTAGAAATTCCCTCTAGTAACCTACTCATGTTGTGTTCTGTTTGTGATAATACATTTAGGATGTAACTGTTGTAAGAATACTGTATAGGAGAATTCAGAACTTTGGCAATTTGTAAATAATAGTAAAACAGGTCAAGTGGTGGTGGTGGACACCTTTAATCCCAGCACTCAGGAAGTGGATCACTGAGTTCCAGGATTGCCAGGGCTACAGAGAAACCCTGTTGGGGATAGGGGTGGGTAGAGAAAAGTAAAACAGTGGACCTTGGTGATCTCATTGTGGCATAACTATATAAAATAATAATTTTGTTAATTAACTTGTTTTGACATTTCCACAATGTATGTAGATATGTGTGTTTTTAAAACATTGTGTTTTATGCAATAAGTGAAATTCTGTTAGTTCATAAAAAAAGAGGTAAGAGCTCATGTGAAAATTTTTTTTTCTAAAATGTATGAGTGTTTTGCTTGTATTATATGTGCACCATGGGCTTGTCTGATGCCTGTAAAGGCCAGAAGAGGGTGTCATATTCTCTGGTACTGCAATTACAGGAGGTTGTTAGCTGCCATGTGGGTTCTGGGAACCAGATTTAGGTCCTTTGCAAGAACAGCAAGTACTCTCATGCTGATCCCTCTCTTCAGCCCTCCAAATTACTTCTAACCATAAGACAGTTGTGAGTTGTCATATGGGTGTTGGGAACTGCAGGTTCTCTACAGGAGCAACAAGGGTTCTTAACCACTGAAGCATTTCTGCAGCCTCTAGTTTATATTTTTGAAAGATCCATTTATCTGTTTTAAGTTTGTAAAGCAAGAACAGTTTCCTAAGTAATTGCTTAGTCTATGTAAAAGAGAAAGACTCTCCCTTAATTGTCACTGTTGACTTGTGTCTTCTCTAAAGTGGTGTCACTTGTGCTTGCCTGTCTGTGTCCAGGCATTTCAAACCTCAGACTAGCACTGCCATATAAGAATTACCTAATGAAGTCAGAACTATGCCTGAGAATAGTAAAGAGCTAGGGACTGATATATAGCAATTGTAAGTCACTCTACAATCATTATATTTAAAGATAAATTTATATTCATTTAAAAAATCTTTTGTATTCTGTTCATTTTATAGTTCTGTCATGAGTACCAACAGTAACTCATTGGCACGTGAATTTCTGATTGATGTCAACCAGCTTTGCAATGCAGTGGTTCAGAGGGCGGAAGCCAGGGAAGAAGAAGAAGAGGAGACACACATGGCAACCCTTGGACAGTACCTTGTCCATGGGCGAGGATTTCTGTTACTTACCAAGCTAAATTCTATCATTGATCAGGTAATGGTAAACAATTGTTCATTAGTGTGTATGTTATTCCTGGTCTCCAATTAATAACTTGTAGATTCCATATGTTCTGAGAATCTCTTCGAGTTAAAGTCCTATCTTTCTCATTATTCCAACAAAAACGTTAGCCCCATTTGTGGAAATATTATTTGTTTGGATACTTGACAAACTGTCTGAAACATCTTAGAATTTTAAAAGTGGTCTTTTTTTTTTCTTAAGACATTTCATATATATGCATTTTGCAGTTGTTTTACTGCAGTTGCAGTAATAATCTCCAAGTCACCAATAATACATTGTTATTACATTAAGGAAAGAAATATTAGCACTTCCCCTGGGTGCCATTTAACCAAAATCAAGGCCAGATTTGAATTTTCTGCTTGATGTTCCCTCTGTATTCCATCCTTTTTTTTTTTTTAGCCGAATCTGTGACTGCCTTAAAGTCTGTCCTATAAATCTGTCCCTGCATCTGTATACAACTGTGTGTTTCTGTCCCTAACAAAGGGTTTTGTTCTCTTTATTGAATGGCACAGGAGGTATCATATGGAGAAGAAATGGGAGATCTTTAACAGAGTTTTACAAGGGATTAGGTATAGAATCCAGTTGACCCCAACTGACCCAGTAACAAACATTACCACAAACATCATTGTGTATCAGGCAATATATAAATGTTTTATTCAGTATTTATGGTGTCTTTTCATTTTTAAAATTATTATTTATTATTATTATTATTACTACATTTGTATCCTAACCACAGTTTCCCCTCCCTCCTCTCCTCTGACCCCTCCATCCACTACTCCATTTGAATTCAGAAAAGGGCAGACCTCCCATTGATATCAACCAAACATGGCATATCAAGTTGCAGTGAGACTAGACACCTCTTCTTGTATTAAGGCTGGACAGGACAGCCAAATATGTGGGAAAGGGTCCCAAAAGCTGGCACAAGAGCCAGAGACAGCCCCTGCTCCCATTATTAGGTGTCCCAAAAGATGACCAAGCTATACAAGTATAACATACATGCAGAGGGCCTAGATCAGTCCCATGTAGGCTCTCCAGTTGTCATTTCATTCTCTGTAAGCCCCTATGAGCCCAGCTTAGTTGATTCTGTCAGTTTTCTTTCTTTCTTTCTTTTTTATTTATTTTATATAACCAAGTCTATTTAAATGAAAACAAACATTTATAGACAATATTTGGGAATTTGGGCACCGTTCTTTCCAAACTACTTCCTGCTGGTAAGGGGCACTGTCATGGGGGATTCTAAGAAGATGCAGAAATCCTGGCTGTAGTCTGTAAGGCTGCTTTGTCCAGCTGTTTTGAATGTAGGATCACCTCATACTCTGTTTCAGGCAGTCTGGCTTGATCAAACCTCATTAGTCTGGAAGGAATCCACATCTTTTCATTTTCTGTGGAAACAAAAATAGAAATCCTTTTCCCCAGTAACTTGTCCTTCAACTTAAAACTTGGAGTCAAAGCATTTTTTAAATTTAATTTATTATTTTACATGTCAATCCCAGTTCCCTCTCCCTCCCGCTCTCCCTCCCTCCTTCCCTCCCTCCTTCCCTCCCTTTTATCCTCTCTGCCCTCTCACATGCACTCTAAACACCCTCCCCTCCCATCCCCCACCCCAATTCCATATGTAGGGGAATGCCATCCAGTTGGGGTCATGTAGATCTGACAGGTCCTGTGAAGTAAGGACTAGGGCTTCTCTCCTGTCTCTAGATTAAGGCAGTTATCCCTCCATGGGGGATGTGTTTGCAAAGTCCTTTTGTGTACCAGGGTTACATCCTGACTCCACTGTCTGAGGTCCCTTAGACTGCTCAGTCCTTCTGGCTGAGACCCATATTCAGGGGGGCCTGAGTCAGTCCCATGCTGGCTTCCCAGCTCTCAGTCTGGTGGCCTATTAGCTCCTCCTTGTTCAGGTAAGCTGTCTGTATGTGTTTCTGCTGCCTGGTCTTGTCCTCTCCATCTGCATCTGGGTTCTACTTCGACTCAGTGTTTATGTATGGGTGTTTGCTCCTGTTTCCAACAGGCATTAGTTGAGGGCTCCATGGAGAAGTTAGTTGTTGATCTCACTCTCCAGGAAGGGCATTTCTGTCAGTTTTCTTGTAGTGTCCTTGACTCCTCTGGATCCTATAATCCTTTTTGCCCCTCTTCTACAGGATTTCTCAAGTTCTGCTTCATGTTTGGTCTCTGTATCTGTTTCCATCAGTGGCTGGATGAAGCCTCTTTGATGACAATAATGCTAGGCTCCTTTCTACAAGTATAGTAGAATATAATTAGGAATCCTCCCTCCCTCCCTCCCTCCCTCCTTCCCTCCCTCCCTCCCTCCCTCCCTCCCTCCCTCCCTCCCTCCCTCTCTCCCTCCCTCCCTCCCTCCCTTCTTCTTTTGTCAGTTGTGTCAGTCTCTGGGCTGGGTCCTGGTGCTTCAGGCAGTATGAGGGATGGGCTCCCTCTTGTGGCATGGGTCTCAGGTTGTACTAGTAATTGGTTGGCCACTCCCACAATTTCTGTGCCACCTTTATCCCAGCACATCTTGTAAGCAGGACAAAATATAGGTCAAAAGTTATGTGTCTGGGTTAGTGTCCCACTCTCTCCACTGTAAAGCTTGGCCTGCTCACAGGAGGTGACCACTTCAGGCTATATATCCCCTAGTGCTAAGAGTCTTAGCTAGTGTCACCCTTGTAGATTCTTGGGAGATTCCATTGCACTAGGTTTCTACCTCACCCTGAAATACCCTGATTTTCCAGTACTCTCCCTCCATGCCCCCACCTGATTGCTCCTGTTCCCATCCCCACCCTCCCACCTGAACCCTCCTTGTTACCTAGTCTTGCTAGGTCTGTGGACTGTAGCATGGTTATCCTTTTCTTCACAGCTAATATCCACTTATGAGTGATTGTATGACATGTTTGTCTTTCTGAGTCTGGGTTACCTCACTTGGGATGATTATTTTTTCAATTTCTATCCATTTGTCTGCAAATTTCATGATGTCAGTGTTTTTAACAGCTGAATAATACTCCATTGTGTAAATATACCATATTTTCTTTATCTATTCTTTGGCTGAGGGACATCTAGGTTGTTTCCAGTTTCTGACTATTACAAAATAAAGCTACTATGAACACAGTTGAACAAGTGTCCATGTGGTATGATGGAACATACTTTGGGTATATGCATAAGAGTAATACAGCTATGTCTTGAGGTATATCGATTCCAATTTTCTAAGAAACTGGGTGGCTATTTATTTTTTAAAATTGCTTAAAACTCTATTTTTGCTGATTTCAGCAAATGATTATTAGAGCATGCATGGAAGAGTGAAGAGTTTGAGATTACAGTTACACATTAGCTTAGGTAAAAGTCCATTACATTGGAAATCCAAGGCAAATAAAGTTGATTGTTAAGTTATTCTCTTAAAGGCAGGTAAACAAATAGGCTGAGTATACAGTAGGATATCAGTTCTAAGTCTTTTTTTTGTTACTTTCAATACAGGGTCTCCCTATGTCGCTGAGTGTCCAGGAACTTTTGATATAGAGCAGGCTAGCCTTGAACTCACCAAGATTTGCCTGTCTCTTCCTTCCAAGTGCTGGGATTAAAGATATGCACCACTATGTCCTTGCCCAGTCTTAAGTCTTAGGTGAACTCAAGGTATACTATTAACTCTGGTTATAAGGTTCAGCAAAATTTCTAGTCTTGTAGAGTGTTTTCTTCCTTTTCTTTTTTTAAGATAGGGTTTCAGTACATAGTCCATGCCTGCCTCTAATTCTCCATCCTCCTTCCTTGGCCTACCCAGTACTAGGTATGTGCTCCTGCACCTGACTGCCTTTTCATTTTTAAAGTGTTTTTTTCTTGTTTTTTATTTTGATTTTTGATTTTACATGTTGATCTCAGCTCCCTCTCCCTCTCTCCCTCCCTCCTTCTCTCCCTTCCTCTTACCCTCCCTGCCTCCTCACATGCACCATGACCACACTCACCTCCCATCCCCCCACCCCAATTCCATATGTAGGGGAATGCCATCCAGTTGGGGTCATGTACATCTGTCAAGTCATTTGAAGTAGGGACTAGGACTTCTCTCCTGTCTCTAGGTTAAGGCAGTATCCCTCCAAGGGGGGTGTGTCCACAAGGTCCTTTTGTGCACCAGGAATACATCCTGGTTCCACTGTCTGAGGTCCCTTAGACTGCTCAGTCCTTCTGCTGAGACCCATATTCAGGGGGGTCTGGTCAGTTCCATGCTGGATTCCCAGCTATCAGTCTGGGGGCCTGTTAGCTCCTCCTTGTTCAGGTCAGCTGTCTGTATGTGTTTCTGCAACCTGGTCTTGTCTTCTCCCTCTGCATCTGGATTCTAGTTTGACTCAGTGTTTAGTTATGGGTGTTTGTTTCTGTTTCCAACAGGTACTAGATGAGGGCTCCATGATAATGAATAAGTTAGTTGTTGATCTCACTATCTGGGAAGGGCATTTATGGCAGCCTTTCCATGGTTGTTCAAATTGTTAGTTGGTGGCAGTCTTGTAGGTCTCTAGACCTTTCTTTAGGTTCAGTTTTCTCTTCAAACTGATAATGACCCCCTCTTTTATGTTCTCTCTCTCTCTCTCTCTGTTTCTCACACACTCTCTTCTGTCTTCTATTCCTACCCTGACTCAATCTTCTAAGTCACATTTGGTTTCCTCTCCTCCCCTTCTCTTTCTCCTACTTTTTTCTCTCCCTCCCACTTCACATGTGCTCTGGGGGGGGGCTTGTCCCTTCCCCCTTCTGTGAGGGACTTTATATGAATCTCTTAGAATACTTCTTGTATTCTAGTTCCTCTGGTGGTATGAATTATAGGCTGGTGATCCTTTTCTCTAGGTCTAAAATCCATATATGAGCGAGTACATACCATGTTCCTCTTTTTGTGACTGGGTTACCTCATTCAGGATGGTTTCTTCAAGCAAGTGCCATCCACTTAAGTGCTAGGGATCAAACTCAGGACCTCTTGAATGTTAGGCAAACACTCAACCACAGAACTATAC